CTTCCCCAGTCACAACGAAGTCCAAAAATGGGTGGATAAATGGATCGCCTCGAAAGACACCGCGTTCTACCGTCGTGGGATTGCCCTGTTGCCAGAGAGATGGGAAAAAGTAGTAGAAAATGGAGGTAATTACTTTGATTAAGGTATTCATTCATCTTCCCTTCGAAACAAATTAATTTTGGAGACGAAAAAACGGCAGGAATTAAGTTTAACACCTACAGAGTATTCAGATTTTTGCATGTTCGCAAATGTAAACAAATTTATCTTTTATCTCTCGACCATGATCGAGTCCTTTTAAGCGACGACGATCGAAAGCTCGCTGCATGCGTGCCAAGCGAGAGAAACTTTTTCTAGACCGGCGGGCATGAGAGCGGCGAACGGGCGTCGAATCATACGGCACGTCGCACGTGTCATATGCGAATTCCAGACACCCTGAAATTACGCCCGTACATCAAACGGAACGAGGCGTGCACGACCGGGGCTCGGCTCCAACGATTGCACGTTGACGTTGCAACGAGCTGATTATTTCAGCGCGCCAATCACGCGAGTACAAACGACGCGGTAGGCGTATGCGTGTCAGCGAGTCAAACAGGCGAACTGATTTCCGTAATTTGTGTTTTTCCATAACCTCAAGGAAGCTCTGATTGTAACTGTAACTATAGTTTCGTGACTTCGGTTTACATTTGCTCTGACGCGTGCGTCATTGATATGCAGTGCAGTATTACATTATATAATCTCGATGAATGAATTTTGTATTTGTGAGATTTCCAGAATCGTTATCGTGTTTTAATACAGAAAGACAGAATTTTTCTAAATTACAAGAATTAGATGATATGTTAGTTATTTTAAAAGACTAATATAATTGATATTTTAAAACATTGCATTTTTACTTTTTTTTATTGTATATACATCTTTATTGCTGTTATCTCTGAGCATTTTAATTATCTTAATTTTTACGAAGGTAGTAACTTGTTATGGAGATGTCTAACATTTCGATGACTCACAATCAGTAGGTAGAACCATTCGCATTTGAAGACATTTCGTGAAGACGTTGTCATCGCAGGATGTGACCCATAAGTTGCGACACGATTACACTGGCAATTACATTAACGATTGGAGCGCATATTTATGGTCCGCAAATCGTTTATCATTAACACAGGCAATTCGTAGATGTCGTGATGGATACGAACAAGATACGGAGCGTAAATCATAAAACATTTATACAGATAGTTAAAAATGACAAGTAAAAACAGACCCAAAAAAAAAAACAAAAATTGCTACGAAATTTAGCATATATCTTAGTGGTAATTAATAAATCAAATTGGTGCGTGCAAATTACGTTTCTTAATAATAAATTTAACATACATTTTTTATTTTGCATAGACTTTCATGTATTGCTTATGTCTTACATGCATTGCTTACGCAACGACATTCAAGTTAATTATTCCGAGCATAGATATCGTTCCGTTTACCATAATAGAATAGTTTTCTTCTCAAGTCCTTATTTTACTTTACATAACGGTTATTTATTGACAAACGTCCAAGCAATTAATTGTGATATTTTGGGTGTTTGTAAATTATTACATATATAGCAAAGTGTACTTTAATTCTCTGCAGATAAGTTTATTATCTAAAAGGAGAGAAATAAAACTGTAGATATGTAGCTTTTACGTTATAATGATCTATATTTTCTTGCGTCGATATTATGTTTTTGATGAACCTACGAAGCACGTTATTTTTGAAGTTTATGAATGATTTTATAGAACACAAGCATGTAAGTTTAAAAGTCATTACTATAGATACAAAAATAATGTAACATTCTTGCATTTTATATTCCACGGATTTCTCCAATTTCTATTTTTCACGATGACACAATCGCTTTTCGATAAAGTTTCTCACGATATTTTTGGAACTCGTAAATTATTAGACATCCAACCGCATTACTTCGAGGACAGGTTTTCGAGGACACGATCGTCGTCGCGACCGTTAATTCCCTGCGATCCGGTATTAGCTGGAAAGGGTTAAGACGACGTGGAGAGCCGTCCTGTGAAAGCTTAGTCCTTTCTGTCCCGCGGAGAGAGAGAGAGAGTGAGAAATCCCCCGTTTCTTCGAGTTGATCCACCCCACCTTGTCTTCCTTCCGCCCTTTCTCCTAACGGGGAATGGCCCGAGTCTTGCAGTACCCTCAATCTCGCCATCTTGATAGATGTTTCCGCGTGGCACCTGCGCCGACATCCGAATTACTGCGGGCCCTGTTTACCGTGATATTTAAACGACGTAGTCGCATCACAATCCGCCTCTTCTCTCCTCCTCTCCCGTGGATGAAATCATGTCGCGCCGCAGTAATCTCTTTGGCTAACTTTAGCGGGAGCGAAGATCGAAATAATCCAGGTTGCCGTCGTTCCACGGGGATGAATCAAGCGAGCGTGCATACTCGACACATTGGCGGAATTGGCAGAGGATTCGGGATACAGGAAAAGGTGGACCGACTTGTGGCCAGATATAAAATACGAAACGAATTACATCGGTACACGACGGAATATGCGAAGCGTCTTCTTCACTTCTCTCTCTCTCTCTCTCTCTCTCATTTTTTTTCTTTTTTTTTCTTCCTGTTGCGCCGCGACGCTGTAGAGACGTGGCTGGTTGGCTTGCGGCGCATATAAATAAAATCGTCGCGACATTCGCGAACGTTTCGCGTTGGCTTATAACAAGCGGGAACGAGGTGGATGCGAGGACGGAGGATTACGGTAATTGAGCATAAATCAAGTTTAAGGAGGACCTACCGGTAGCGATCCACGAAGTTGACGCTGCGGTGCAGCCAACCGCGCGGCGCGGCACGGCGCGTCGTTTATATTTATTTCCATTGCGTTTCTGGACACCCACGCAAAGTCGCGGTAATTACGGAATTGCAACGTTTCGTCGTCGTGCGAACGGTGCTAATTGTGTCGACGATCGGAAAAGAGGGTGGACCTGGAACATTTGGCAAGAGCTCGTTGTTTACATTCGGTATTTTTCAACATGTCAGCATTCCTCAGATATTTCTGCCAAAATTTACGTTAGAAAATATATTTTCTTATAAATCTCACTGCGTGAATGGAAGCAAATTTTAATTTATTTTCAGCTTAATTAGTAGCGTTATGAATAATGTCCATAATTTTTATGCAATTTAATAACAATAAGGAGTAATGATATTGAAAAAAAGTGATATTTTCTACATATTAAGATTTCGAGAGAGAGAGAGAGAGTTCATGTCATACGTCGTTCCTTGCAACACTATTTTTTCCTCCCAACTCCCAACTCCGTCTCTGTTTCTACAACGAAGCTTAAAATGGCTGCTCGATTTTTATCTTCCTCTGCATATTGGCCTACGAACTTCTTTTACGAGTCTCGAGTGAAAAAAGGAATAGAAGGAGAGAAGGCAAATCTGCACTCGCGTTTTTTTGCATACTGAGACGAAAGTGCGCGTCGTGATGTACGATTCACGTGGGTAGGCAGGTATATAAGGGTGCGCGACGTAGACGGACTTTGGAGCTTACGAGGCTTGTACTTGCGCCCGAAGTGCATACGAGTGAGCCCATGGCACGGCAATTTCTTCGCGGCGCGATAAGTTTCGTGATATATTTCGCTGGAGGAAACTCATGTTTCCGTAATGCAATTAGAGCGTGGCCGTTGGCCCCGCGCGCGTCTCACAACGTTGACTGGACAAGGGAAGCACCTACGACCACGACGACTATGAGAATAGTGGCGACGGCGGCTCAGAAATGGCTACTCTAATTAGAATACGGTGGACAAATGAAATAATTCGTAAATAAAATAGCCGAGAACCATCTACGTGCATTGAGGAGGAGGAACGACCATTCCCCCGGACGCTTTCTCTCGTTCTCTCTCACTCTCGTTTTCACCCTTCGTCCACAATTTTCCGTCACATATATCAGCCTGGACAGTAGTTAGAACCGTTGCCAGCTTGTTACTGTGTGCAGCTCTTCGCGGCTTATATGCATACAAGCGTGCACATACCTTTATCTAACTTGCGTCTAAAAATTGCATGTACAGAATCAGCGTAGGGAAGAAACTATACTCACGTGTGTGCGAGAATGTGTGAACAATTACTTATAATTAGAAATGCTGGAAAGTGAACGGATGAAGATGATGTGCAAGTCTACCTCTTCAAATTGT